CTTTTTTTTTTTTTTTTTTTTTTTGCTTTACTCTATCCTGATGGATTTCCTGCCTCAAGAGAAACCCATCTTCCCTTGTGAATGTGTTTGGTGTGGATTTTTATTTATTTTTTCAGCATTTCCTTGTGAACTCAATCCCCAAAGAAGCCAGTTTCTTGGCTGGGTCTGGAGGATCTGGAAGTGGTTACGGGGGTGGGTGGGACTGGGTTCAAAGGTTTGATCATAGGCGCTGTAGGAGCTGGGTGCTTGGGGCACTGGGAGAAGGCCCATTTCCCTCCCCTTCACTCTGCCTCCGAGAGACACAGGCCTATGGGGGGAAGGAGTGGGGTGGAGTTATCCCTTTTCCTTGCTCGCCCTGAGTCTGTGTAGGGACCCAGAACTGGCTTGGACTGGTCTTCCAAGCGGGGCCTCTTTCCAAGAGCGAGGTGCCCCTTCCCATTCCCCTGCCCTTTTGCCAGCTCTCTTTCCAAGGAGGAGAGTCAGGCTGGAGCCAAGAACCTTCCTGGGGTGGGTGGGGAAGGAGTGTTTGCATGAGCTTGCTGGCCGAAGGGAGCATTGGTACTTTATGGCCACCCCCCACCCCGCCTTTTCCTCTCCTGATCATTAAACAAAAGAGCAACTGGCTGTTTGGTGCTGTTGAAAAGTGCTCCTCACTGTGCACTTCCGGCCACGGGGGCCTCCAGCCTGCCAAGAGCCAGGGGAATTCCTGACTGTTCATCTTTCCCATCACAGATCAGTGTGTGTCTGTGTGTCTGTGTGTCTGTGTCTGTATGCACACGCACGTGTGTGCACTCAGAGACAACAGGGCAGTTGTGGCAGAGCTGTGAGTTTGTGTGGCTTGGGGTCCTCATGGGGGCAGGTGTGCATATGGGAAGAACCAGTGTGCCCAATGCTGAGGCCGTGTTGGAGGCTCTGTGTCAGTGTGAGTTCGTGTAAATCCGCGTGTGTTCACACATGCTGCCAGCTCAGAGAAAGCATGGGACTCTCGCGGGTCTCTGCATGTGCCTGTGTGTGTGGAGGGCAGGTGTGACAGGACAGCTTCCGGTGGGCGTGGGGGTGGCTGAGTGACCCTGAGGTGGGCATATTCCATGCTGCCAAGGGCAGGTGACCAGGATTCTGTGTGGACATGTGGTTCTCTGTCACTGGGGATTTATCCACGGGGGAGATGGAGACTTTGCCCCTCTCAGGAGGGCTTTTCCTGAAGAAGCTCCCACTCAAAACCTCCAGAAGCTGACTGGGGGCCTGGTGGGTGTACCCACTTTGGAAGCTTCTCTGGCCAGCCTCTCCATGTGGGCATGAGCTCCATTTTCTGGCTGAGGAAACTGGGGTGCTGAGAGGTTCAGCCAGGACCCCAGAAAGTAGCAGAGCTGGGATTTAAACCCAGGCCTACCAGGCACCTGAGCCCACGTGGCTCCACTGTCTGTGAGACCATTTCTCCTGAGTCATGTGTGAACCCCCACCCCCAGCAGCCCCTCCCAGTGAAGCCCAGGACACACCTTGGGGGTGGGGACCTTGTAGGGCCTCTGGAGTGCTCAGTGCTATCCAGTGAGACAGGCCCCCGTGTTCAGCCCTGCGTGAGCTGGTGTTCATAGGCTGCCAGGCAGTACCAGGAAGTCGTGTTACTGTGACACCCAGGACTGGGGGAAGGGCGTTGGAAGGTCTTTACTCACCTGATAACTCCTGGCCCTTAATCTTCCCTTTCTGCAGGTCCGAACCCTGAAACGAGAGACAGGCAGGGCCAGGGCTCACTTCTGGGGGCAATGAAAGCTGACCCCTGTACTTCAGTCCCCGGGGGTCTGCTGAGTCCTCCCTCTGGGATAGGGTAGAGGGGAGTCACAGCCACTCCTGGGAGACTGGCTATGGGGCTTTGGAAGGGGTGCGTCAGGGGCCTGGAGGAGAATGCAGACAAAGGGTTTCGAAGGTGGCCTGGAGGTGGAGGGCAGAAGCTCGACCTCTGGGGTTCCTGAGGCCACATCTGCACCCCGAGACTGAGCATAAGAGGTAACTGTTCGCGGGACAGGGCTGCACTGACCTAGGAGCTCACAGGTCAGCCCTCCCCTCAGGCGGAGTGGGGGGAATCTGCTGTCTTTGGAGCCTTTAGCATAGTTGGCCAGTGGCCATCCGGACAACCAGAGGGAAGGGAGAGCAGGAGTGGCTGGACTGTCTCACTTAGCCCAAAAGCTCGAGGCAGTTTCTTTGGCCTCAGTTTCCCTCCTTCTCTCCCTGCTCTCCCTCCTCTCCTCTGCTTGGTGTCTGTGGGATAATGAGGCGCTCCCAGGGGTGGGCACTAATTACTGTTTGTGCAGGCCTGGGAGATGCTCAGATGAAAGGGACTGGAGCCAGGCCCCTGGGTCTGTGCCACAGCTCGGGGCCCCAGGCCATGCCAGGGAGCCCTGCGGCTCCTAGGCGTGGGGTTTTATAGTCTTAATGATGGTGATTAGCGTGGCTCTTAATTGATTCTGCCAACACCTAACTGTGCCCTAGCCCCCTTTCCACCCTTCCCGGGGCAACTTCTGCCCTTTGTCTCCTGGAGGTACTCATCGGGGGTACAGGAGGTGCCTCGAGAAGGAGATGGGAGGCCCTGCTGGAACACGGGGGGCACGGGGCTGGAGGAAGGTGAGATCCAACCTCTGACTCCCATCCATCCATCCCAGATTCCCCCGACCACCCCCGCTGGAGGCTGCTGCTCCTCTGCTGTCTTCACCTTGGGCCTCCCTTGCCGGAACCCATCCTCAGGCTGTCTCTGTGGGTTTTGGTCTCTTCTGGTGGGGCAGTGGGGGCGCAGCGGGCCGGAGGTTAGGAGGACAGGCCTCTCCACACTGCTTGCTCCAGCCTGTGTAGGCCAAGTCTCCTCTCTTCCCAGCTGCCCCCATTCCCACTCGGGTTTCTCTGGGAGCCCGACCCATACAGCTGTACGCACCCCAGCCCTGCCCAGGCCTTCTCTTGGTGGTACAGTCTTTCACCTTCCCTGATTTGGGGCCTGACATCGTCCAGGGCTGGTGTTAGGCCTGGAGGCAGCCAGGAGCTGAGAGGTGGGGCCCCTAGGGTGAAGGTCAGGGGCTGGTGGCGCTGGGGCCCCTCCTGATAACACCCATCCCTTTCAAGAAAGGTCAGGACCCAACAGAGGGTCCAAGCAGCCACTTTCCCAAAATAACTCTTCTGGCCACCCTGGCAAGATGGAGAGAGCCAGGCTGGGCCCAGGGAAGCCCAGCCCAGCCTAGCCTGCTCTGTGTTCCTTAGCCTCCCCTTGTTCCTCTCCAAATCCAGGCAGCAGTTTGTTGAAATCAAGCAATAGCAACGTAGCCCGGCTGTTTCTTTTTAACTCCCCACAGGCTTGGGTCCCACCCAGAGTGATGAGCCAGTGTCTCTCCTCTGAGTGAGGTTAGGGAGGCCACCAAGGGCATCCTGGGGCTGTGGGGTCAGGGAGCAGCTTGAGTAGAGCCGGAGCTGGGCCCTGTGGAAAGTCTGACTTGTAGCTTGCAGGGTGGGGAGCCTCCTCCTGCACCCTGGGATCGTCTTCTCACCCACCAGGGCTGCTGGGCAAAGGCTGCACGCTAGCCCTTGGGTTGGGCTCATGGGGCCACCCAGCCCCATCCCTGTGGACAGATGCTGATGCCTGCTGGTAGGTGGAGCAGGGAAGGTTCCCATGGTGGAGGCCCCCACATGGCAAGTGGACAGTGTGGCTGTGATTTACCAGGGTTGGGTTCATGAGGATTGTCGGCTCAGCTCTCTTTGGCCATAAACTTTCCCTCACTGGACCATCCCTGAAATTTCTACCAGAGAATCAACACATGGAAAAGAAATGAAATTCTAAGGGATGAGAAAGTTGGGATCTGGAGAGGTCACAGTAATTGTCCCAAGCCACTTGAGCAGTGAGTTCGAGAACCCTAGAATGCTTAGGGTGGAAAGGGCTGCAAACCCAGAGATCCTCCCAAAACCTGCTGGCTGAAGGGCTCATGCCTCTCAACCCACAGTGCTATCTTGGGCTTTTTCATGACACAGATACTGGCCGGAGGTATGGCTTAGTGGTACAACGGGTGCTTATCATGCGTGAGGACCTGAGTTCAATCCCCAGCACCAACCGAAACAAAACAGTTCCTAAAAAACACACAGCTATTACCTGGAGAGCTGGGACTGCAAGGGAACAGTCCCCCTCATTCCATGCCGGCTTTCCAAAAATATCTTTGTGGGTTAGAAAATCACATCTACCTGTGACAGCCTTAGCAAGCAGGAACTCTTGGGAGTTGGAAGAAATTCAGTTTCAGGAGGTGAGTAGGGAAGTTAACAGTTGTTAGCACCAGCCAGTAGGCTGGGCCAGGGAAGGCCCTTGCAGGGGCCAGGGTAGGAGTTCAGCGACCAGGAGCAGACACCGCACCAGCCAGGATGAGCAGAGACGGTCCGTGGGAGGGGAGCCTGCAGGAGGCCAGGGCCTGCCAAGAGCTTTTTACACCTTGTGCCTCCTACCCTCTATCTGCAGCCTCCACCTGCCCCTGCTGGCCTCCAGGTGTGCGTGCTCCTCTTTAAGATGGGCCAAGCACAGACCGACCTCCTTTCCCTCACTGTAGCTAAAGACAGGTTGACATTTCCAAAAGGAACTTGTCAAATGCTCAGGTTAAAAAAAGGAAATAATTATGAAAATTACAAACAGCATAGATGCGGTTGGGTTTCTGAGCCTCAGGAACACAGAAAAGTTAAGGATGGGGGTTTCAGGATGGCAGGGCAGGGGACCCGAGGTGTTTGGCTAGTGTGGCTAGGAAAGCATTCTGGGCTCTTGTACATATCAGGGACCAGATGGCCTTGGGAGGGCAATTCTTTCCTCATGAGCATCCTCTGGGGATGGGGAGTTCTGATACCCAGGATGCTCCTAGCAAGACACAAAGGAAGGGAGGAAAATTGGGAAGGGCCAACCATTACATTCTCAGGATGTAAGGCCAGTAGTTGGGCCTTTTTCCTAGAAGTTGGTCTCACATGCTTGAGTGTGCCTAGGCATATGTGTGCACGTATGTGCATGTGTGTGTGACAGTATAGTTTAGGGTGCTGAGTAGACACACAACTGCCTGTCATAGGAATAGACACAAGTGATTCAGAGAATCATTGCAGAGAAGGACGTCAGACACTTTAGGGGATTTCTGCATTTGTAGAACACGAGGCGCCCACTACTTGTCATTTTGGAATTGGCATATGAGATATTTTGGAAAAGTTGGGGCTTGATTTTTGGGTCCCTGTAGCCCCATTCCAGGGTCAGGGAAGCACAGTTTTATGGAAGTTGTTCTGACTTGTTAGTCTCAGGTCAATGGCCTAACACCGGAAGTTGGTGTGGAGGGTAAGGGTCTGTCTCCACGCACTGTTTGGTTCCATTTCTAACAAGATTTTTGTGGTTATTCTCCAGGACTCTACTCCACTAAGAGAGCTCACAACATCCCAACATGGGCAGGGCAAAGAGCACTAACCCCAGGGTACCAGCCCGTGAGCAGAGCGCTCATCCTCTGGAGGGCAGGGACTGCAGCCTGTCCTCTCGGTAGCCCCTGAGATGCCTGCACTCAGCAAGTGTGTAGCCTCTTGCTACCTCAGTAGACTCCACTTCTAGCTGCCACCCGTTGTTTCCTGCCCCATGAGGACACCTGAGAACTGTGCTTTCTGAGGCCTTTCATACAGTTAAGGATCCCCAGATACACCCCCCGCCCACCAACTCTGCAGTTACCTACTCTGTGGCTGGATGCGGTTTGTGAGCTCTGGTGGGTGGAGAAGCGGCTGGCTGCTGTCCTTATTCCCCTTCAAGTACCTGCAGGCAGTTGTCCACCTACCTGGGCCTTCGTGGAAGCCCCAGGCCCTCAGACTGGCCAACCCCGGCGTGGAGGGTCAGCGCACAAGATGATTTAATCTCTTCACCTACCCCTTCCCATTTGGACGGGGGGATTCAAACACTTTTGCCTGGCTACAGATCCCTGCCAGAGTGGGAAGTTTCATTTCTTTGATCTCTGGGAGGGTGAGGGGGCATCCGAAGGGCCCCTAACTTGAAAGATGAGGCGGGTGGGGTGGGGGGAGAGAAAGAGAGAGAGAGAACAGGGAGAAATGAGCTAAACGGAGTCCTTGGGTGGAAACTGGCAACAAAACACAACAAAACAAAACAGAAAACAAAAGAGGGAAAATAGAAACAGGGTTCCAGACTCTGTGACACTGGCACCGAACGACAAAACTCCTTGCTGTTTTGCACAGCTGTCTGCAAGCTGCCAAGTGGCAAAGGAGCCAGGAAAAGGCCCAGCATTGGAAAGTGCTACCCCATAATCTGTGCATTCTGCAATTAACAAAGGGTAAGTAAGTAGAAAGCATTGACAGCTTCCAGGCACTGAGGTCCCTGAGGGCTGTGGCTGCCAGGCCACTGAATGCCAGCCTGGAGAAGACCCAGCTTGGAGGACAGTGCTGCTTCAAGGGAAGGGCTTCCAGTCAATTAAACCCGCAACACGCTGAACAGCCACTGGGGCAGTGGAGTGAAGCCCATGGGGAGGGGTAAGAAGGAGGCAGAAGGATCTGAGCCCTTCTGGGAGCTGAGTGCTTGTAGACCCCAGAGTGCACCTTGTGCACCCCGATCCCTTGAGAAGAAATGTCAATGTCAAAGGCATAATAGGCCTCTTCTCAGCACCCTCATGGAAATGGGGACAGCATGGTGAATACCGTCTTTAGAATACACCAAAGGAGCGGCAACAACAGGCCCTGGT